ACTAGTAATAATCAGATACATAGAGATTAAAGACACATGTGCAAACATGTAAGTTTTAGTAGCATTAAAAATGTAGGAAACAGAATATCTTAAAATGAAATGGAGATCTTTTTTAAAGGTTAAAAACTCATTCAATTTTATGTCTTACAGGGTTTATACTGAGTTCAATATTGTATAACTGTATTAATTCAACTGTGAACCTAAAAATTTACAGCCACCTTTGAAAAAGATGTATCCTTGCTCTGGAATGTGTTACTGAGTATGTTAAAGCTGTAATGAAATGCTTCTTCTAAAAAAATATAAAGCGCATGTTTGATCAAAAAAAAAAAAGTACAGTACAGTACATACAGAAGTCAGTCTCCTCATCGCCACCAACTATTATGTAGGACCTCTGTGCAGGTGCTGCCCTTACATTCAACTGACAGCATAGTTTTTTTCACATCAGCATTACCCTTAGTATGTAGGAAGTACCTTGATACTGATATTAAGACACCTATAACATCACTAGGCAACACAGTTTTCAGCTCTGTTATAACCTTGTGGCAATACTATCATACATCTGTGGCTGTCACTAGCCCAAACATCATGATGTGGTACATGGGTGTGTATATTGTATAATGGAATATTATTTGGCCAGTAAGAAGAATAAAGTCCTGATACACAAATGAACCATGAAGACATTAAATGAAATGAATCAGACACAAACAAATAATACTGTATGATTCTATTTATGAAACACCTGGAATACATAAATTACATCATAGAATGTGAAGGTAGATTGAGTTTAACCAGCGGGTGAGGGAAAGGTCAGGTAGAGAGTCACTGCATAATGGTTAAAAGGTTTCTGTTTGGGCTGATGAAAATGTTGCAGAAATTAACAGCAGTGAAGAGTGCACACTTAAAATGGTTAGAATGGACATTTTAGGCTGTTTTATCATTTCAAAAATTAACAACATAATATTCCAAAAGCCTTTAAATTATATGTTTAAAGTGGGTAAGACATATAGTGTATGAATTGTGTCTCAATAAAGGTGTACCCTGCCAAGAGTAGTAAAGTCCTCAGAGAAACTTTCACTGCACATCCATCCCGCCCCTGCACTGGCGTCTAAGCCTCTCCTGACATGCTCACTGGCTCAGGCATGTCACAGCGCAGCTAACCACTCTGGGCTTCACTTGGTTTGTCAGCTCCACACCAGACCTTCGGGTTCCTATAGGCAGCCCCTGAGTCCTAAGGGTTCCGAAAGGCTGGTCCTGAGTCCTTCGGGTCCCTAAAGGCTGGTCCTGAGTCCTTCGGGTCCCTGAAGGCTGGTCCTGAGTCCTTCGGGTCCCTGAAGGCTGGTCCTGAGTCCTTCGGGTCCCTGAAGGCTGGTCCTGAGTCCTTCGGGTCCCTGAAGGCTGGTCCTGAGTCCTTCGGGTCCCTGAAGGCTGGTCCTGAGTCCTTCGGGTCCCTGAAGGCTGGTCCTGAGTCCTTCGGGTCCCTGAAGGCTGGTCCTGAGTCCTTCGGGTCCCTGAAGGCTGGTCCTGAGTCCTTCGGGTCCCTGAAGGCTGGTCCTGAGTCCTTCGGGTCCCTGAAGGCTGGTCCTGAGTCCTTCGGGTCCCTAAAGGCTGGTCCTGAGTCCTTCGGGTCCCTAAAGGCTGGTCCTGAGTCCTTCTTTCAATTCCCAGGTGAAGTATCTAATCCAGTGGTTTGTACAGTGTGTGCTCAGCAAATGTTTGTCAGATTCCTAAGCTATTAAGTAATCTATGTGATCCAAAGTTTGTACTGTGAGTTGTCTGAAAAGACTGAACTGAAGCCTTCATGCTCGCATTGTGAGTCCTTTGCAGACAGACACAGCCACTTCACCTCCCCCAGAAACTGTTTACATTACATGGGATAAATCTGAGTTACACCGGCTTGACTTTATCACTGCCAGGATTTAATAATTCAAAAAGAGTTCTGCTTATTTTTTCTCCCCCTTTCTCCTCTCCAAAAAACCCACCCATGCCATCGTCTAGGCTGAATTTGAGTCCACGCTCTAAGAAGAGTAATACATGAGGAAATATAAAACAAAAATGACTGTACACATGTGGTCTCATAATCAAGTCCCCAAAAGATCAAAGAGCACATTCATAGAGTCTGGTCACAGACTGTTTTCCTGTATTTACCCGCTCTGAATATAAAGTCAAATTCCACGAATACAAGCCGTGTAAATTGCATTTGCTATTCAAGCATTGCTCTAAACTCTCCTCATACACAGCAAGATCAATGCCTGCATATGCTATGATGCCTAATAAGTTGCAAACATAGCCTTTGTTAAAAGCCCCAAACCCTTCATGTTTCAAAATCTTCTTGGCACAGCCAAATATTCCAGAATATTGTCCAGTTTTGGCTACAGCCAGTCTGGTTTTCAAAACCTAGATACAAAAGAATACAACACAATATCAACAAGATAATCTACTGGTATCATAATAAAATCCATTGGCAAGGATGGTAAGGGAAATGGTGCTGTAAAGGATAACGCCAGGTTCTCCAGCTTGGAGCATAGGATAGGGGAGGAAGGGAGGTAGGAATGTGAGGGTATTCGTTGAAATGAAGGATATGAAAGAAAAAAATGAGTGCTGAATTAGGATCCTATTTTGAGGAATGTTTGGGGCACTATAAGCAATCTCCAGGGGCTGGGGAGTAGCTCAGTCTATAAAGTGTCTGCAGCAGAAGCATGAGGAACTGAGCTTGATCCCCAGAACACACATAAAAGTGGGTACTGAATGAGGAGCCTTTGCTGAGGGGTGTGCGAGGGAATATAAGCAATCTCTAGGGACTCGTGACTCTGTCTACAAAGCACTTGCAACACAAGCATGATGACCTGCATTCAATCCCCAAAACGCACACAAAATGTTAGGCATGGTGGTGGACGCTTGTAATCCAGCACTAAGGAGACAGAGACAGGCAGATCTCTGGGGCTTGCTGGTCAGTCAACCTAGCCTATGAATATGCGCTCCAGGCCACTGAGAGACTCTGTCTCACAAAACAGGGTGCGGGGCTGGAGAGATGGCTCGGCAGTTAAGAACTGATGGTTCTTGCAGAAGACTCGGGTTCGAATCCCAGCACCCACATGGCAGCTGACAACTGTCTGTAACTCCAGTCCCAGTGGATCTGACAGCCTCTTCTGTGTTCTGCCGGCACTGCACAACATGGGTGCACTTACCTACATGCAGGTAATACGCAGAGACACATAAAATAAAAATAATGAATAAAATATATTTAAAAAAAAACAGTGCGCAATGCATCTTGAGAAATGACACCTTGGGCTGTCCCCTGGGGCCCGAACACTCACATGTATACACACACACACACACACACACACACACACACACACACATCTCTACTGTCATGCATTCCACAAAGAAGTTCAAGTTAAGAGCATATTGTATTTAGATCTTACTGTTACTGAAAACCCCTACTGTAACCATAAACGTGCTCATATCTACAAGATTATTTTTGCTCCAAAGCAGAATTTGGCAAACATTTTCTCTAAAGGCCAGGCAGTAAATATTTCAGTCTTCTCGGGCCTAAAATGTAAGGTCTCTGTTAACATATTCTTTGCTTTTCTTTTGTATTTTCCTACCTTTTAAAAATGTAACAAACCATCTTAGCTGAGGCTGTACAGAATGGTCTACAGGTCCATGGCTTACTTACCAGCCCATATTCTACTGGTAGAAGTCCAGGTAGGATTATCATTAAAATCAAAGCCAGCGCTTCCGTCATTAAGTTTATGATACAGGGACTCTCTGGAGAGGAATGCGAGTTATAATTTATACCAGCACTGTGACAGCCAGCCTCAGAGATGGTCCCCATGGTCCTTCTTCAGGCATGCTCAGTTTTGTGTGGTTCCCTCCCACACAGTACCAGGGTCAACATGTTTCATGTGACAAACAAGACACAGTGAAAGTGACAAAAGACAGCAGCTTTCACCTCTCCTGACCTCCCTCACGCTCGTATCATGAAGAAGGCTACCATATGGTAGAGACACACAGACGATCTGGAAAGGCCTCCACGATAAGGAACTGAAGCTTTCGGCCAATAGCCAGCAAGGCATGGAACAGCCTCATGAGTAAGCTTGAAGGCAGATCTACCCCAGCTTAGCCTCTAGGTGACTGCAGCCCTGGCAGCCCTTGACAGGAGGCTTCAAGAAACCTGAAGCCACGGAAACCCAGCTCCACTACTCTTGAACTCTGGATCCACAGAAATGAGCAATAACAAATGCATATTATTTGAACTGCTAACTCTAGGCTAACTTACTACACAACTATAGCTTGCCAGTACAAACACGTCACACCGTCAGACCACACAATGGTACTTACCTCCATGGGATAAATAAAAGTCTGTGCAGTTGCTCCAGCAATGGATCCAGAAATAAATCTCTCAAAGGTTCCTATTTTTTGTCCTTCCTCAGTAAGCAACTTCTTCTACTGTATAAACAAATTTTGAAATACACATTAACAGCTGCTAAGACACCCAAATACATTGAACCTTAACCATGATGATTTAGGAGATGGGGCCTTTGAGTAATTATGGTTAGATAGGTTGTAAGGATGGAGCCCTCAGGAGAGAACCAACATCCTCATGAGAGGAGACATTCGAGGGCTTACCCTCCACTGAATCACACACTGAGGCCATCTGACAACAGAGTGAGAAGCCAGGAAGAGAGTCCTTACTAGAGACCCAATTGACAGCCCCTTCATCTAATATTCTTCAACCTCTGGAACTGTGAGAAATAAACTTTACTTGTTTTTAACATGCAGTTTTTAACTACACAGTTGGTGGTATTTAATATGGCTTCCCAAGGTAACTAAAATAATGACAAAATGGGTGGAGAGATGGCTCAGCAATTAAGAGCACTGGCTGCTCTTGCAGAGCACCAGGGTTTGATTCCCAGCACCCACATGGAGGCTGACAACCATCTGTAGGTCCAGTTTCAGGAGAATCTGATGCCCTCTTCTGAACTCTGCAGGCATTGCATGACATGGGTGTATTTACACACATGCAGGCAATATTCTCTCTCATACACATAAAATAAAAATAATAAAATATTTTTAAAAATGGTCATGACAAAATACAAATCAGATCCTAAAAATCAATTCATTTATAGTGTGATAAGCTGCCTCAGAATACATCCCCTACATTAACAACCTTAGCATAAAAGCAGGGCGTAAATGCTATTGATTTCGTTTCCTATGTGCTAGTTTCCAAATAAGATTTCCACCAGGCTAGGCATTTAGCTCTGTGGTAAAGCATGTGCCTAACACATGTAACGTCTTGAACTCCAATCCCAGCACCAAAAAGAAAAAGTGAACCAGACCAGACTTCCACAGAACATAGACATTCCACAGGCTGGACCAAACTGTCCCTTTGCCGAAACACAACACTGTTTTTTCCTAATGTACAGGAAAAAAAGTGGAATCTATAGTTGTCCATAATTTTAAGTATCTTCTCATATTTTCTTTTTAAAAGATGAATTTCCTTTCACAAATACATGTAACTATATGACAAACAAATATTAGCCAAACCACTTAGAAAATACTTTTCATAGATATACAGTAAATTATACTAATGTGCCCACCCCAATACCTCTCTGGGTGGCCACCAGTATAAAGCAACCCAACAGAGCTGATTAGACTAAGGTACAACTATGACCCAAATGAAGCCCCAAAACTAACTAAACAGGTAGACCCAGGGTGGAACCACCCAGCCGTGTGGCTCTGAGCAAGTTCATGAACATATTCAAGTTGCACTATCCCTGGTCTAGGACAGCACTACTTATGTCACATGGCTATTGATAGGATCAAATCAAGTAATAAGCACAGTACAATTTATCACCTTGCTAGGGACACAGCAAATGTTCACTAGTTATTATTATTACTACTAATATACTACTAATATATTGTGTTTTTACATTGTGAAAAAAAAAAAAAAAAGAACTCTGGCCTGAACAAAGACTGTGGCCAGGCAAACAAGATCCCTTCTCTCAAGAGTGTGCTATGACTCCAGAGAGGCAGTCAGTCAATGGCAGCAAAGAAGCCAGTAAGAGCAGAGACACATGTGGAGAGGAGAGGGCAGGGGGGCGGGGGTCTAGCTGCTGGGCTTCTTGAAGGATCATTCCCTTGGAGCCACATGCCCCGCCCCTTCAATGACCCTCATTCCTAAGCCAGCCAGTTGCTGTCCCTTGGGATCCGAATTGCCCAATGACTACAACAACACAGGATGGCTCATCCTAGCAAAGGTGTATTTCCCTGTTCATGATAAAAATCAAACATGTTAGTATTTCATGAAGTTCCTCAAGTAATAGACATTCTTCCATAAAAGGCACTTCCAAAGGTTCTGTTTCCTGAAAAGCCAGAATGCTACATACAGCTGCCCCTCTGCAAGGGTCCTAGTAATTGTCCTGTCAGGTTACCATAATTATTAAAGAGTTTGTTTAAAACCTTCATGCAATGCCAACAATGGTGAAGCACAACTATATACTCAGTGCTTGAGAGGCAGAGACAGAGAATCACAAGTTCAAGGCCAGACTAAGCTACATAATGAGATACTGTCAGGAAGGAAGGGAGGGGCCAGGGGGGAGGAGGGAGGAAGAGAGGGAGGGAGGGATGAACATATGAACGAACTTAGTTTTCATGAATATAAAAGGAAATATGTAGCCGGTTACGGTGGTACATACCTTTGATCCCAGCACTTGGGAGGGAGAAGCAGGCGGATCTCTGTGAGTTCGAGTCCAGCCCGATCTACATAGTGAGTTCCAGGACAGCTGGGGCTACAGGGAGACCCTGTCTCAAAAAAGACTTAAAAAAAAAAAAAGGAACTATGAAAGCATTATTCACATCTTGTAGCCCCTGCACACATTCACAGCACCTCTTAAAAACAGTAAACATTTATCAATTAGTGAATAATAAATAAATTCATGTTTGGAGCTCCTGGGGTTCCAAACCTGCTCTCCACAGAAAGCAGAGTTGAGAACAGAGAACCTGTGAAGAGTCTGACACTGCACCAGCCACTTGACATAAGGACAACAAACTTAGCACTCGCATTAGAGATGTTAGAGATGAGGTACCAGCCAGGGACTTTAGATAGCTGACCAAGCCTACAGAATCTGACTTTCCTAAAGGAGACCTTCCTGGACTTTCAAAGCCTCCCTCAGAGTCTTTTTGTCCATCTCCCTTCTCCCTCCAAACATTCGTGAGAACCCTCTCTTCACTGGAATGCATCCTTCTTCCTTAACACCACTCCGTCCCTCCCTCTTAGGAAAGGCCACCATTCTTAAAAACTCAGGGAGAAATAAAGACCAGCAAGCAAGAACACCTTGCTATTCCTGCCTACCCCACAAAAACCTCCCCACGGCTGTTTATGTCCCCTTTCTCCCGCAGTTGGTAAAGAGTATTCTTGTAAACCAAAGGGAGCTTCTAAATAATCTAAATGATCTCTAAATAGAATTTGTTTCTCCTGTAGCCCCTTCCTACCCCTCCACCCCCCCTCACTTCCTCTGAACACCTGTTGCATCTATTAGCCTCTCCACCTGCAGGTTACCCGTTCCCTTGTCCTGCCATGCTTCCTTCAGCAACAGTAGCACTAAATCAAAGCTCTCTCCATCTCGAACCCATCACCTTCCCCCTCTTCCTTTCACCATCATAATCCCAGAGAACGATGTCAAAGTGGTTCAGTTCTTCAGTGTCTTCACATGTGAATCACTTTTAGCTTGTTTTGGTACGGTTCATGATCTCTTCATTTCACTATAGCATTTATAGTAGTTTACTTATCTTTGAATTGGCAAATCTTAAAAGACAGGCTGTATTTGTCACCATCAGCATGTGACCCTTCGTGAAACCCTTCTCTTTCCTAGAGTCTCTCTTCCTCTGCCTGCCACCTCCTCCTCCTCCTCTTCTTCCTCTTCCTCTCTCTCTTCCTCTCTCTCTCTCTCTCTCTCTCTCTCTCTCTCTGAACATCCTCCTGTCCCTTTGGCTTTTGCTTTACATCCCCACAGATACTCAGCTGAGACTCAAAATCATACTCAGCTCGTCCAACACGGAACCTGACACTGTAGTCTCTGTGTAAAGCTGCTCAATTTGGTCATCACCGTCATCCTTGGTTCATCTCTTTCTGACCTCCCTGCCCAAGCAGTCAGTGAGTTCTGCTGATTCTATTTCCAAACCATTTCTCAATTCATTCTTGCTTCTCCAGTCCCTACAGCTATCATCTATCCTGAGCTCATCTCCCTGGGTCTAGTCCAGCCTCACCCTCCGCCAACACTTCCACATCTTTTTTTTTTTTTTTTTTTTGCCACATGGTCTTCCTTAAATATAAATTACACATTTTACTTCTCTGTACAAGAAACCTCAACACTCCCCTACCATATTCAGGAGGAAATCTAGATTCCTGTTACTTTCAACTCCTGCCTGTCTGTCCAGTCTGCCTTTGTCATTGTCCTTGTAGAAACTCCACTGGAGGCTCAGGGAACGGCCTGCTGCCTCAGTAAAGGACACTTTCTCATACCCACATTTCTGTCCCTATGCTACTTGAAATGCCCATCTTTCCTTCCATCTTAGTGGCTGGAGATGGGTTCTGACAGGCTTGAGCCCCCATTCAAGCCCTGGGGGTTCTTTTCACTCATTCAGTAGGGACTTCCTGGCACTTGGGAAGGTGCTGGGAATATAAACCTGAAAACAAACAGCTGCAGCCTAAGGAAGCCCACAGTTTCACAAAAGACACTGACTACTGCAGTTCACACTGAATTCAGTGTGGAAAAGGATGAAAGGAAGAAACTCTGGAGATGCAGGTTTCCTGGAGGAAGTAACTCCTGAATAAAGCATTAAAGGACAGTTCACCACCGTGACATACAAAGAGGAACCTGTGTGTGTGTGTGTGTGTGTGTGTGTGTGTGTGTGCGTGTGCTGGAATAGAAAGGTCTGGCAGAGGAAGGATGACTGATGTTTTGGACATGTTGAGTTGAGGTGCCCTGGGAGAGAGACACAGAGAGACACAGAGAGATGGGGGGAGGGGCACAGAGACATACAGCACACAGGACAAATATATAGGTACAGAGAGAAAGAGAAAAATATCAGAATGGAGGGCAGTTAGTACAGAGAGAGATGCTGAGATCATAAGAACGCTGAACTACACTGCTACTCCATCAACAACACAACAGCCCTGCTGTGATAACGGATGAGGGCAACCCAAGCAATACCCAGCCTTGACGGTGTGTGTAAGAAATCTACATCTCCAGGGGAAAACATCCTTTGCTTCATTTTCTCACCTAGCAATTCAATGACCAAAACTTATCTGAATCCAGAAGGTGTCTAGGCCTTCTGAGAACTCTGAGAATATATGTGGCATAATATCTGATGTGGGAGACAGGCTTGAGCTTAAGGTGAAAGTCTTAATGGCAGCCATACAGCAGGCCCGAGGCAACGGCTCGACC